AAAAAAAAAAAAAGATTGAACCCAAAGAAGGAAAAAAGCAAGAAGCCCTTAAAATTACAGTGAAGGGTGGCGTTACGAAAATTCTCTCGTAAAAACCCCCAAACTGGAAACCACTGAACTAAATCTTGTGTTTCCCACATTACTTGTTCGATGAGGGGAAAAAACAAGCTCACTGGCTGATGACACATTGAAATCAATAAATCCATCTTAAAACCTGCTATGTCGAAGCATATCTTTTAGATAATTACATATCGTTATAGAAATGAATACACATGCATGTTCCCTTGAAACCTTTCAGGAATATTTCTCAGCAAAAGTTGTATATCAAAAGCCCACCTTGTTCAAGAATTGTTTCAGAACAGAAGCAGCTTTGACTGATAAGCTACGAGGTATCCTGATTTGTTTTTCAAGAATTATCTGTAAAAGTATGTATTGTTGGAAGAACTAGATTATGTAAGTAAACAAAGATATAGAGTAGTTCGAATTTCCAACCTGAAAAAGATAGTCCTCAGTATTTTGGTCGGGATCACCAGCAGCGCCAACTATATCAAAAGGAGAGCGGCCAGCCATCATTTCATACCTGACAAGAAGCGGATCGAAAACAGTCATAAATTCAACCTTAATACTACTTGATAACATCAATGAGTATAAAGATAGACAGATTTACGAAGAAAGTATTTGTTACTAATTCCCTCCCGAAAATAGAAATGGAGTATTTTATCATCAGACTACCTCTTACAGATGCTTGCTCTCCTAAATTAGGATTAGTGAAACTTCCTCTTTTCAATCATTTCCTTAGCCTAACTGCAAAAAGGCTAATCAAAAACCTTTTTCATGATGACATCAAAAATGATTTATAGACAATCTTTGTAGACAATTAGGGGAAAAGTCAATGAAATGAATGCAGAACTCACATGAGCACACCGAGAGCCCACCAATCAACACTGAAGCCATAGTCTTCACCACGAAGGATTTCAGGGGCGATATAATTTGGCGTGCCACAAAATGTTGATGTGACATCACCTGGTCCAATATTCTCCTGGAATCCAAAATCGTGGGATTACCTTATCTTATACAAATCAGAATCACACCAGGAGATTCATGAGAATTCATACTATTCATTATATGAGTTACTAGCAAAAGAATACCTACCTTACACATGCCATAATCGGTGAGCTTTACGTGTCCTTCTGCATCAATCAATACATTATCGAGCTTCAAATCACGATAGATTATGCCGCGGGAGTGAAGGAAGTGAAGTGCGAGGATTATTTCACAGGAGTAGAATCTTAAATATAAAATACTCTTGACTGTAAAAAGATTATTGGGTTATGTTATCGTATTCAGGAAGTGCAGCCCGTATCATTAAAACTGTTCGGAATATAATGGGGAGCTTCAATTGCTTTTCATTTATCTTCTCAACAGCTAAACCTTTAATCGAACATCCATCAATAAGGGTCACCTCTACTATCTCCCATGTGGTAACGTCCTGTTTTGCCTCTTCTAAAATTTCGTGAGGTGTTGTAGATGACCGCTCAACATACGTATGCTAACTCTCATGGGTTTGACTAGTGATAAACTATACTGTCTATACATTCACAATGGCAGTCTATGATGCGCGATAGTCGACTATAAAACCCCCATTCTACGGTGTGCATGTTAATTGCCTTCGTCTGTGTGTCAATAAAGCACTTCGTCTCGGAGCTGTAACAATAAGAGCAATATAGATTCGTCCAGACATGCCAAATAAGCTTCAAGCTAACAAAATTGCTGGGGGCCAACAGTGGGAAGTCAGGGAACAAAGGTGTTCAAGTTAACCAAGAAAGTAAGCTGCTAGGATCAAGGGCTCATACACTTGTTTCGATGTAGCAGATCAAATTTCTTTAGGAAAAGTATCAAATCATTCTTTCGAGCAATCTCTTAGGAAGATGAGGAACCGGGTGCGAAGGAACAGAACCAATATGACACCGTGCCTTGTAGTGTTATTGTTAATCTGTCGTATTATAACATCAATACCTAAGAAAAATACAAAAAATAAATATTTCTGAGGAAGAGAGAGCCATTTCAGCCAAAGAGCTAAATCGCTACTAGCTGACAGAAGATGGAAACTCACCGTGCATGATCTTCAGGAAGTTTGCGTTGACGTTGCATATGGAACATCAAATCACCACCCGGTACAAATTCAATAACAAAGAACAAACGCGATTCGGTCTAAAGACAGTATAAAAGGTTGTAAGAAAAGGACGGGGAAATGTAAGAAATAAAATAATAGAAATGATAAATAGGTGTCGAGGAACGAGCTGGATAAAATCATGACTGTCACCATACCTGGAAGCAAGAATGCAGTCCCACTAAGAACGGATAGTTTGAGGCAGCTTCAAACACAGACTTTTCCGTTTGTACCCAGTCTATGTCCTGCAAGGTAATATTTTCCAAATTTAAATAATCATAATTTCAATGATGAAATTCGAGAACGAATAAAAGAGCGAACCTCATCCTCATTGAACATCTGCTTCTTGATTATCTTTATTGCATAAATCTCCTTCGTTTTTATATGTTCCGCTTGAACTACCTTAATTGAAAAGCACTCAAAAGCTGCGCATAAAGCAAGAATGTGGATAGGGATTTGTATACTCTTCAAATCATAAAAACAGAGTAATTGGAAAACCGAACATATGTAGCATACCTTGGCATAAGAGCCTCGTCCAATGACAGTGAGAAGACGGAAATCACTCAGAGAAACTGACCATTTACTGGTTACCACACCCTCCGTGGCCTAGAATAAGAGAACGAAGGTTAGGGGGCAATGAAAAATGGAAACAAGTAAAAGTAAAAGGAAATTTGGATAGCTTATCAGTTTTATACAAGTTATACCGTAGGCCATGACTTGAACGCTTGGTTGGTAAACAAAACAAACAGCTACAGGCATTGCCCACCCAACTCACCACGATGCCCAAAGCATTTTTGATACATCGTATATGTGAGGCAAGGAGGGAGGGAGGTAGAGCTATGTCATTAAATAAAACATGCTGCCTGTTAAGTTCTACGTCGGCAGCAAGTTATCACGCCATAAGGTCGCTCAAACCGGCTTCCAGTCCTATTTCCTCTTCTCGTGGAGATACAGCATTCATATAAAAGAACTTGACAAGCTAATGAATACATACCACAGCAGGGGTACACGTAGTTTGAAGAGATAAGTCGACTTCTGCTTCTTGAAAAGCACCGTTATCGAGTCCAGCGAAGGAAGCCTTCTCCCCACCGTTTTGCGACCCAGTATGGTAAGTGCTTGCAGGGTAGACACTATTTTGTTGCAGAGATGTTATCGATGGCGTCACTGCCTGGAACAGAATATCAATAATCAGATAAAAAGCAACCTCTTAGAAATTTATGGATCAATACTTCGAAACCATTAAAAGTCAAGGGAATGTGAAGAAACAAACCTGCCCACAGGGCGTCCTGACTAGCCGATGACATTTCTTGTGGACACAAAGGCGACAGTCGGCACATCTATACCCCTGACGACCAATTCCCCATATGTAGTCATTACAAATGAAGCATTGAATCCTTCTGTAAACGAGGATTATATCATGCATAAACGACAGGACCAACTAGGAGTGACCTCATGCAGGTCATTACCTATTGAGGCGTTTTGCTTGAAAACGGTGCCCATTAAAGAGATAGATTTTCTTCCATCGACGTGCTCCCCTACGATACACATTGCCTGAAAATAGAAAGCCTAAAGATAAAGTGAAATAAGCCAGCCATCTTTTTTAGGATCAGGAACAGAGAATGACTCGAAAAACCAAAGCGCGTTTTTGCAACCCGCAAAGTACTATCGGGGTAGCAAAGACAGATTTTTGTAGGAAGGCATTATTCGAAGGTAACCATTATGCCATTATCCATACCAACCTCTACAGTTTTAGTCAACCCAGCCCCTTCAAAAAATGTTAGCTGTTTATGATCGATTCTGAATCATTCAGTCAACAGAAACACGCTGTGGACAGCATGCTTATCAAATTCAACAATAGCTGCACCAGACACTTATACTTGGAAAAAACTTAAGCCGCAGAGAATAACTGAAATTTTTTAAACAACTCTTTTCAAGAGCAAAATAAGGTCTCTGAGTGAAGAGACGCAAAAGAGCCCCACCATTATTGAACGTTCTATCCTTCTCTACTCTTTAGGCTTTTTCTTTCAAAATGATTGCAACATAAGAAGAGAATTCCGAAAAAGGATGGTAGGGCTGCATAATGTTGAACTTTTCAATCATCACGAAGCAGGAACGTGGTTATGACTTGTAAATTGTAAACTCTTCTTCCTGCACTGAAAGGGTATAGCGCAGACATAAGTTAACTGAAATATTCAGCTTTGTCACTGTTGTAGCAAGATAGGATTACATACGATCTTCCCCTTCGCATGGGAGTCCTGGTAGAGCGGGTTGACCAAGAAACACGTGAATATTCAATTCAGCGTCACCGCTTTGTTGCAGTATACGAACCGCTTCGTCTAATTCTCGTTGACTATCAATCGAGACGGGATCGCCTAGAACAAACGCGATACACCATATTGGTTTAAATGGCAGAAACAATAAAAATGTGCATACCGTCCTCATCGATCCATTTCACAGTTATCGGATGAGAACTTGGTTGCTGACAAGCCTCTTTCAAAAGCGAAAAGAATTTATCTATTTGTAGAGGAGGACGCGCATACAGCACCAAAACCTACAACAGGTATAGTGTTTGATATAATGCATGTGAAGAGGTCTTGAAAGGAGACACCCTGCATTTGAAGCCTACATTTCGATGAAAAAAGATGATGGAGCTTATGAATACGCATAACACTACAATGCTGTGGCAGTTTTTACTTAACTGTGACGTGCACAACAATTTTCAGGAACAAATCGATTGGAAATTTTTACCATTTACAAAAATAAATTCTGAAAATACTGATACAAAAACGAAAAGTCTGCGACTGGCAAAAAAGTGAAACTGATTGTGAGTAAAAGCGGACATTTGCAGAAACCTATGTCGGTTTTCAACTAGGATCAGTTACCAGCAAGGAACCCAGAAAACATACCTGGCCCAGAAATCGTGTCTTTAGCTTGATATCTGTGTCTTCCTCCATAACCATGCTATAAAATGTTTTTCAATTAGAACATGTCGTTCATCAGCGTTTTTTCGGGAAGCAATTAACCGAGACATTACAAGAAACAGGACGCATTCAAGGCAGAACAAGGAGCAGCATCCTTTGTGCAGAAATTGCGAAACACTTTGCTAAGCAGCTTTGAAAGCAAGAAATCAACCAGTAACCAGGAATGAAACTATAAAAAAGACTTCAGACCACGTTATGAGACGAGAAAACGTACGATAGAAAATGTACTGTGGTCATGATGACCAAAAGACGAAGAACTTCAGTGGTGTGTCCATTTCCGACACACCTGCCGAGCAAAATTGATCGATAACGAGACGATTGGCATGCAGGCGTTCGAGGTCAGTACGTAGTCAAATCACATAGGGGACGTTCTTGAAAGGGAATAGCTCTGGACTAAGAGCATCAAACATGTCTGCATCACTGTTGTTGTATGTGGGTGACCTGTGAGTAGGAATGACTCATTTCACGACAGCCGTTGAAAATTCAACAAAGGATCACCCGCCACAGTGTGGTGGGTGCATGGGACGGACATAAAAGGAGCCCTTACGCTCTCATTGACCGAGTTCACCCACTTTTTTCCGAAGTTAACGTTTCAAAAGCATGGAAATTACTCACCCATTGATTAATCAAGTCATAGATAGACCACACACATTCAAAACACCACTACGATTCCGAATGAAAGTCGAAATCGGGGATGCATCCCGAAAGTGGATTAACCCCAAAGACTTTATTCTTTACAGACTAATCAGATCTAAGAGCCTTTGCTAGCCTTCGAGTGAACAATAGGTACTGGAAATTCACAAAATCAGTTCGACACAATTTGAGAGAAAGTCAAGTCATGATTGACTGAAATTTGAAAAGTCAAGGATGTTCGCCATATAGAACATTGTACTTTCCGAATCGTGTCCTAATTCATCGAAGCGCGGTGGTTTGTCGAACTTGGAACGGGAACATCATATACATAGTATTAAATCAGTACATTCCACAAATACCATCACGACGTCGTTAAGCAGGTACGGTATCTATTTCGTACTTTTGATGCGATTTCGATGAAAAAAAAATCGTTGCACTAAGACTGGTGAACAATCGGTAACCAACTTTCAGAATCAATGGGTCTCGACGCAAAAATTGACCAATTCAAATTAAAGGAATTAGCTGTTATCTGGGGCTAATTAGTGCGCCATCCTATTATCGCAATCGGACATCGAGCAATTTCCGCGACCTGTTTAGTTGAAGAAATCGGAACATTCGAGATTACAAGGCGTTTTTATGGGGCGGTCGCTCGCCTGGGCAATTTTTCTTAACTGAATATATTATCGAATAGGGAAGAGATTATTACTACGATGCAGAACAGCTAAAGCGCTACAATCTTTACTGCTGAACTGCTATGGGTAATGATCATATAAACTCCCAAAGTGGAACGTACGAATGGAAAACCTCTGAGCAACAGACCATTGCGGAATAACAACGGTAAAACCAATTAAAAAGCCGTAAAGATGACGGACTGCGTGCAACTGCACAATGTACGCGAATGATCCGTCACTAATTGGATGCAGGGATCACGGTCAAGGGTGTGTAAGTGGAGTGGCTCAGCGTTATCTTCACATCCTTGAAAAAGACGACTTCTACGCTTTTTTCGCCTCGGACGCCCATTACTCTTTCTTACTGTGAAACTTCACGGCGGCAGAATTCTAAGAAATGTCATATGAAGGTCCATTACAATTGCTGGCACCCAAACATCTCTTACCATCACTTCATTCTTCATCGGATAGCTCCATTCTTTTCAAACTTACATGCCCTTTTTTTCCGAATACGCTGTTCCTCTTTCTCTCTTTCCTCTGTGCCTTTGTACTTTATGCGGATCAGTCAAATATTCCCATGAATCGCCTGCACTACGGTCGTTATCAACACGGATCATGCTAAAGACTCTAGAGTAGGGATACGATGCCGGCACCATCGAGAGCATATTGTCAAGGGTGAGTCGCAACGTGTGGCACTATGGCTGCTTGCATAGTCCACGATTTGTCCCGCGAGCGAGCGACCGACCGAAGGGGCGCTTGCCCCTTGTTTGCAACAGAATCTTGGACGATACATCAGGACGAGTAGTCAGTCACCGCGATTTGGCCTCGTCGCTCGCTCGCGCACTCGCGGGACAAGTCGCGGACTTTGGAAGCAGCCTATCGCATAGGCGTGTCAGGACACTCGTACGAGCGGAGGTCTTACCACGACTAGCGTAAGCAGTCCGCACGGCCACCTAGTTGGCTAGACCAAAACCAGGACATAGGCAGCGTAGCCCGCAATACTGGAGAATCATAAAAGTTTGGTAAAGGGTTTGGCTTCGGACAACCGAAAGATTGTTTCAGGCCCTAAAAATGTGGTTGAGACGTGGGTAGATATTATTTGAACGGGTGTCTCCACCTTGTCAGTAAATCAATAGTCAAGGTTAGAATCAAGGCCAGCTGTCTTTCCACAGCGGAATACGTACTATTGTTGAAAAAAACAATGAACAACGTGGTGCCAGTTAACAATGGTGATTATCAGTGCCACAGCGGTTGAGATTTGCATTGAACAATCGCTCTTTTTCCCACGAGAACTGTTTGTACGACTCTACTACTCTCTTGTTCATCCGAATCGCGCACGAGTAACTTACGGCTTGTTCCGCGTGCTGCGCGCGACGATACTTGGATAGTTGCCTCACCGCGCGCTGGGTCCTAAATAGTCCGCGTCTTTTCCTTCGGAAGACAGGAAACTTGTGACGTACGTAATTTTTTACATTAATCGATTTTATCAATATTTATTAACAGTTGAAAGTTTCTATTTGTAAACTAAGTGTGTTATTTAGATATACTTATTTTCTTCTGGAACGTTTAAGCTGTGATTCGAGCTGCCTTCTCATCATATTCTGAAATCTTCTTATGCAGTATCGACAATGGGCCCCATATTTCTGTGGTGCGGAAGAGACTTGACATTACACCGTTTCCATACCAGCATGATGTCATCTACAAAAAAATTTTTTTAAGATATCGCCTGTAATCTAACATTTCACTGCTTTGTTTTGAGAATATTACTTTTTTCTTGTTGGACTCTTTTCAATTTACTTGTCGCTCATCAAAGGAACACCTAGCAAAGTGGATCCGCACCTATTTTTCGTTTGTCTATGCTCTACTGTTAAAAAACCGTCTGTTATATTTGTTGCAGGGCTGATTTCGAAGTATTATACAAAGGTCGTTGGGATGCAGTAGTCCAGCCATTGTAGCAGGGCGATTACCTCATCTATCAAACCGGTCCCCTTACCCCAAATACTTTTCAATCGCGTACATATGTCGGGTTTTTGGTCGATTCGCATCTTTTCTATTTCCCTGTGTGTGATTACGGTATCGGATTTTCAAACGGTGAGATCTCCCTTCTATGTCTGACGTGAGCCGGTGAGACATCTTTCAGGGATTTTTCAGGTGTCCTACCGATTCTACATCGAAGTGGCAAGAATGATTATCAATAATAATCATTGATAAGTACTTAATTTTTTTCGATAACAATCTGGGAATTTCTTTGAAATCCCACTGTCTTCATTGAAACCCCACCGTATATCGGCCAAGTACAGGCGAGCAGAAAAGACGGGCCCTGATTTGCCAGCGACCTCCTTTGTTTGTCTACAAGCCTCTCGAAAAACTCCACAGAAAAACTCCATCGTCTCCTACCGTCTTGATGCCATACAGCATTGGGAAAGCACAGATGAAGGTAGTGGTTATAGATGTCCAAGAAAGTTCGATGAAGGCCGTTTTTGATAATATTCCGAACACCGCGGCAGCCTTCAAAAGAAAGGTGAGAAAGCTAGAACTTCGCACATAGAATGCTCTATGTAAAATTCATTTATGAAATGGTATNATTTTGTGGTAGCGTACCAGTAAAGCAGCAGGTACTGCGTAGCGCCAGACAAAATGAAGGAAGACACTGATATTCTGCTCGTACACTATTGCTGGGGTTGATGCTGAACCCATTGTCTGTAAGAAGTAAAGTAACATGATCTCTCGACGATGACCCATCGTTTCGAGATATTTCCTTCCAAGGGGTTCGTATATGAATGTGAACGGTAGACGCCGATCACCGGCTAGCCGAGAGTTTTAGACGACTTACTCTGATATTCACTAGTAAACGATAAGTGGTATAATTCCAAAACACCGATATGCACTCCCATAAGACCATTGCACAGATCGCTATATGCACCACGCTATATGACTGCTCGATCCATTCCTTAAAACCTACGGATTAAGGGAACTGGGTTACTCCGCTTCTTCTTTTCATAAATACGAGTCAGTAATGTGCTGATGAGGGAATACTGATAGCTCTCGATGTAGATAGATACAGCCATTAATGAATGGAAAAATGACAGAGCCTTAGAGAACGGTGGTCTGAGTGCCAGCGGAAATGGGGACGTGCTATTCTATCGTCGAGATGATGAAGTCACACTGTACAGCTGGCGCGATGTTGACCAAATTTGGGATTTTTTATTCCATCCCACAACTTAGCACTTCTGAGGGTGATTATTGATCAGGCTGACTTGAAGCTGAACAGCTACACTGGACTTATAATTGACCACAGAAATGCATATACATCTCGTTACATTTACCTAATGATAAATTAGTTTAAACACAACTGGAGGAGAAAAGCAGCTAAGAAGAAGCTTCTTTTGGTAATAAAATACGCAATGGAACTTACTGTATAGGTTGACAAAAAGTAGACCACGGAAACGCCGATATACATGAGACCCGTTACACAATGGCGCACAAGAGCGCTGTTTATTTTGAGCATTGCAGGAAAGAAATGGTAAATTAGAATGAGCACATCCTCCGATATCAGTACCTTAACAGAAATAGCTGTATATTTTACCTTTGGTATGCCTTCTGATGTGGGACCGTTTCCTGCTTAGGCTAACCTAGCCTCTATACTTAAAGGCACCGTTAACATGATTTTGGGTAATCCAGATTACAATGAAAAACGAAAGACAAGATCGAAACTAGTGCGACTGAGGTGAAGAAACTGCGTGCATCGGTGTTTTCACAGTGAAAAAGGGCCTCGAAAANGGACGTGAATGAAACCAGAAAAATGAAGAAGGTGGGGCGCCCGGACGAGCTAAACACTGCGTTTCACTGCGCGCGTGTGGGTCCTGGTGCGAATAACAGACAATGGTAATTCACAATTCATTCACTTATAAGCATGAATAAACGAAAAACTTTAGTAACAGCAGAGTAGTTCACCTTTTTCAGCCTCTAGGAGTAGGAAATTTATTAAGGGATCGCGGCAGCAAAAAGAAAAACAGAGGAAAAAAGAGTGGGAGAAAAACATCGCCTTATCACTGGCGGTTAGCTGTTTGTGCGTGGGTCCTAGAACGAATAATAGCAATCCATATTGACTGACACTCGTCTAACGTGACACCGATGGAGGGGCGGAGGGCGACCGTGGATATCTCTCCGGCCCGTTATTGTGCCCTATCCAGCCGTTTTCCGACCTTATTCCTGCACAAATGGTACCAGAGGTGGCTTCGAATTCAAACCATGTGCAAATCTCCGAAACACTTTTTCGTTGACAGTGCCTTTAAAATTTCAACTAGAAGTCAGATTCGTGGCGCAGACTGTTGATCGAGGCGTGGGCCGTTAGCTTCCCTCAACTTTCGATAGCGACTAAATGACATGCTTGGCGTTTTAAAAGCTGAAGGAAGTCTAACGACAGACGTTTCTGCTAGATCTGTACGAGATGCGCCATGAATTCGGCTTGCTCTCAAAGTAATCAGGTAGCTCGGTACTGTACTGGTCAATGATCGAATTACGATTCACTTTTCGGCTCTACAGAGCGATTAAGGTTCTGGTTCTATCATACAGGATTCGATATTGAGGGAAGGACAGGTGCAGTGCGTTGCCTGTTCCCGTAACGCCGTTGCGAGCAAACACCACGTGGTGACATTACCTTCGCAGGTGCGTTGCGATTCCATTACCGTTCCCCTGGTTTTGCTGGTATCCCACACCCACAGTCATCTTCCACTTACATATTCAGCAGCTGACAGAAGTATTAGCGACACTACAAGTAGTGTCATAGCAGCTTTTGAACGGGGATTTGAAGCACCGTAATAGTACAATGGAGATGTGAAATCCATTTTGGCAATATTCTCTTCGACAAGAGATCCTGAATGCAATAATAAATCCAATCTCTTAGTCTCTTGAGCTGTTTTGAGCCTTTCCGAGATTTACAACTTTATCCAAATTTTAAGTTACGGTGAGGTCAGGGAGGAGATAGGTTGCTTATTGTAGTTCAGAAATTCCGTTCTTGTGTGGTCGTCCTAGTGGTTGGCTTCTGAGTTCAAGGTAAGCCATGTGACACTCTTGTATTGATCGAGTCCAGGGTGTCTACTTGTTTAGAGGACCGAAACGTAAGCTGGATAAAGTTGTAATTCTCGGAAAGGCTCAAAACAGCTCAAGAGACAAGTTCAGCTATGCCGAGATTAAGAGAAAGTCGAACATAGTCCAATCTTTTAGCATGCACGTAGGTAGTCTAAGAAATCGTCATTGAATTTGAACTGGCTGGGGCCCGTAATCATCGTATAACTTACTTAGAGTTTCAGCAGGCACGTCGATTCGTCTGTGATGTCGATATTGAAGTTCAAGTCCGACAACTGTAGTCATACCAAACAGGATACTGTATAAAACCATTGCGAAAATGTTGAAGGCGATCATTTCAATCACATCCCTGAAAACAAGCAAATCTCAAATCACCTGCAGTAATAAACTTAATAACAAGCTTCGTAGGAAGAAGATTATTCTGTAGACCTTAAAGTTAGGAGTGTGCTGAAGCCTGGGTCAGAACAATATTGGTTGGGCTTTTGGTAATCAAAACCACCGTCGCAGGGGATTTAAGCACCAATTCATTTTTTATTTTTGTACCTTGCCATGTCGTTTCCAAATGAACTGGTTGCTCCCAGAGAATGAAGCGTGCCGTCTCCTACTGACAGAAGTAGCAGTGACTGAAAAAGGGAACAAGATAAATTAAGTAAAAAAAAACATTCCTAATTGAACTCCCAATCGAAGAGTTTTTGAGTTGGTTGTCGAAGAGGTTGTCAATCAATCCCTAGTTGAAAGTTGCTACAGTGGGGTATCCTGAGTTGTCGCCATGGAATCCAACCATATCTGTATCTGTATCACGGACCTGCCTACTTATCCCCGTAGGTCATCTTTGCCTGTAAAACAGATATACTATTGTGGAGCAAATGACTTTCGTTCAGTCGCACTGGTAATAAGTTCTCCCACCGACTGCTTTGGAACGGTCAAAAAATGGGATACGGTGTTTTGTCTAGTGGATCTCAGGAGGCGTCTCTGCCTTTTGATTTGTCTCCGTTGAGGTGTGAGTGAGGTTAAACAAGGATCGCTTAGGACTGCTGAACAGGTGCAACAGTCTTGTTGTGTTATAGGGAAGCTCTTGGAAGGAGACAATTTGATGTTTCTCATTTTACCATTTAAATTAAAAATTGGACGCTAATTACTGATGTTAATTATTAGGCATAACTTACAACAACTGTCGCTTCAATCCAAGTATCCAGACTAAATAAATATGTCGCATCATTGTTGAGGACCTGAATCATAGAGTTTATAGAGCTCTCAAAACTTCTCCATAAACTCTCAATTGAAATAGGATAAGATGTTTTCAAATTACAACATTGATTTACCTCGATGAACTTATCAAAGACCCTGTAGTAACCAGTCAGTAACAATGACAAAAAACCCAGAAATATCCCCAAAAATGAGAATATGACAACAGCTCCGGAGATCTAAAAAGTGCTGATTTTCAAGGTCTTTGAAACTGCTAATATACTAGTCGACGTCACAGCTAGAGGCTATAGAGACAATGCGTCGCACCTGCACAACCGGTGCATCCGTATTCCGTCTCCAAGCCCTATTTCATTCTATCAAGACTGGTTGGTGAGCATTCATCTTGGTGTGGGAAAAGATATGGTCAAAAAAACCTTTAGCTTGAGGGCACCGTCTACAGTAAAACGGTATCTTAGATTTCCTACTGGGACGAATCTTTTGCACCCTAGGATAGCCCATATGAAGCTATCGGAAAACCGCGAAGACAGGGTGTTACAAAGATTCAGAAGCTGTCTGCACTGTATATAAGATCCAAAAAGGTAGGTGCATCTCCGAAATCTCGTCGATCGCATGAAGAAAGCATCGTGAAAGGCCTACCAGCAGCAGTTGCTGTTTCCTTTAACATTGTTATGAAGTGGAAAGAATAGCTTACTCTTGAAAGATTAGCCACGCCCAATTGTGAACATATGAAACAAACAGTGAAAAACAACCATGTACCGTCAATTTTGTGACTTGTAGGCATATTTCCGAGCACTCTGTAGTTACTATAATTCAATGTGAAAAACATTATATCAAATAGAAAGGGAATATGACTATTTCTATTTTAAGTCCATTCTCGTATCCTTCGTTGGAATCGTATGGATCTTGGTGCGAAGAAGTACAGTACAATTAACGAAAAACGAAGTCTGCGTTTTGTTGGAAAAATTTGGTGCTTTCAAATGGATGGCAAAATGGTTCACGCTTGAGGGATACTCGTTTTAGAAACATTTGAGATCGAGACTTAGTTCAGGTGTACTGTAGAGGGACTGTAAGTCAAGGTGGTGCAGCCTGTAAACAAAGCGCTGTGGACGAACTGTCTGGTGCTGTGTTTCACTGACAACATCTCGCCAAAAGACGGACCTGAGTGATGAGTGTGGTACCTTGTGTCCGAATATATGCCGCGTTCTCTACATACGATCGGGCAAACACTTTGCGGGGGAAGGTTTAACAATCAGTGAAAGATTACGGTAGTGGCTTACGGTAACTATTGCCGCTTGTCGTGAGAATTCCTGACAAAAAATGAGTGGAGTGGTCAAAATGGCCCGGATAGATAAAGCAAAGTGATGGTGAATTCGTGAGGGTCGTTTAAGTTCGCTAAAAGTTACAAAAAGGTTCAGAGGAAACAACTCACCGGTCTACGGAGGGTATAGGAAGGTTGTAATCATCGATATAGAAATCCTCATAGAGAATTCGCCGAGTATTGAGTATAATTGTTGTTTCAGTGGAAAGTTTCCCTTCCTTAATATAAAGGTTAAGATTCCTACTGGATTACCTTGGAGCGATCACAATTGGATCGTAAAGTATGGGTAGGGACAGGGGAGATGAAGGGGAATGCGATCTCCCTGCGATAGTGGCGGAGAGCTCGAATGGGTCTGGTGCCAAATTACGTAGCGAGACAACTAACTAGAAATTGATGAAGCCGCGAAACTCTCTACCTCATATTTAAAGAACACTAACCATAGGAAGCTTTATGAAAACCCGATAACCATTTGATAATTCAACAAAAAAAGTCAAAACCTGAGTAAGTCGTTGTAGATCGAAGCATTGTCCCAGATAGAAAACTTTCGGAGGAGGACATATGTTGTTGAGGTAGCAGTCTATAACAGAAGCATTATAATTCAGAAATTCTGCAAAAAAAAACGTCTCAGATGGGACAACATTCACTTAAAGGCAAGTTCAGAAGATTTTATCAACAACATTCCACGGCATCAAATATATTTCATGAGTTTACCATATCTGGGTCACGGAGTTATCGTGTTTAGACTGCCCCCGATTTCACCATGCTTCTCTAGTCGGAGTGCAAATTTTCCGCGCGCGACTAGCGGCACATGAGTGCTGCAGAATGGTTGGGAAGATCAGATTTTTCCAGTCGTTTGCTACTCCATGGCATGAAGATTTGTAGTCCTAACGTGGTGACACCCACTCATCGGTTTGGTTATCCGTTTCGAATGGGCTTTGTAAACATCAAAAAAGTGAAAAAGTGAAGTGGTGAAAATTATCGACAAGTAACTACCTCTGCAAAGCAGCAAGAAGAGATTGCGTCACATAATTGAAAGGACGTCTCGTATAGGTTACTGTAGGAGAAGTTCCTTCAACTCTGTGACGCCAATATTCTATTCTTCTGTAGGTTAGAGGGTTGTATTCGTTTATTGAAAAAAGGAAAAACAGTCTCAGTCGATAAGGTGCAAGGTAAAGGCATGCATGGAATTTTGGGTCAGAGCCGTTGTAGCTGCTGGTCGTCACGCTTTTGAAGAAGGTAGAAGAGATAGAGACACGGTTCGTGATAAGTTTAGGTAGCTTCATTGTATGAGCTCTTGACGATGTGGGAACAAAGTGCTTTACACAGGAAAACTTTGAATAACTCTGGGAAACGAGATAGCTGTTCATACTTATCGAACAGATCAAAAGTTCATCCGTAAACATTGTCTTGGTGGGCTCCAAAAAATATACCTACCTTTTGTTGTTGCGGATAAGCATTCTACACTTCTCTTTTCAAAAATAGAACTTCCCAAGAATTCCCACGTCAAACATGCCAAGCTGAAATTCCCTTAGAAA